CCGAGCAGCAGCCAGCAGGTTGTGTCAGAGTTTATCCCACACTCACCGCCACCTACCTGTTGAATATTCACAGCATTTATTCACCCAGCGAGTGCCGAGCCACTGTCGAAGAACACATCTAAGCTGTGGGACAGGTGAGGAAAAGGAAAAGTGTGTCGCGGAAGGAAGGAAGAAAGGAAGGAAGGCATTTAGGAAAGCTCGGAGTAAAGAAGGAAGTAAATAAGGACAACACGACCGTTGGGCTTGGAACTCAACAGGTTAGCTACTTCAATGTTCTAGCAGCGGCTCGGAGTTTACACTTTCAACGTCGAGAAACAAACAAACAACAAGAAAAGATGCCATTGGGACCATGGAGGAAGAAAAACAGGTCGACGAAGGAGCATTTGGTGGAAAACGAGGAGGTCGGCGGCGGACACGCAGGTGCCGGGAGCTTGGCTAAATCCGCCGTGAACGGAGCGGGGCTGCCGCCTCCACCTGCCAACCTGCGGCCCAAACTGGTCTTCCACACGCAGCTGGCTCACGGAAGCCCCACCGGCAGGATCGAGGGATTCTCCAATGTTAAGGAGTTGTACGCAAAAATAGCAGAAGCGTTTAATATAAGCCCACCTGAGGTAAGAACTCACCTGTGGTTAAAGGAGGGAAAAAGTCATGTGGTTGATTTAGTGTTTAACTCAAAGTATCCACACAGACACCCTTGTTTCTACTCATGTACAGTTTTAAGGTACTTTACATGAGTATTTCCATTTTACACTACTTTATACTTTACATTTCATAGGAAAATATTATATTTTCACCTCACTACATTTATTTGACATGTGTGGCAACTAGTTTCTTTTCATTTTAAGGTAATGACAGTATGATAAGTTTATAAAATACAATCCAAATGGGACAAGGGGCTCTGGCAGCTTTGAGTTGGGGCCCCTTGACCCCATTTCAGATGTGACAGTTCCACACAATCCAACATTTGCCCTTTAAACCTCACATATACATACAGACAAGTGTTTGAGGCCTGATGAGATCAAGTTATCACTCATTAAAGGACACTAAGACTACAAAAAAGTCAAAATAATGAGTGCAACTTCATGTAGCTCAACTTAATTTTCTTCTTCCCTACCCTATTAATCACATCACGACCCCACAGACTAAATATCTCTGAATAAAAGACCCAGCTGTAGGCCTATGTAATTAAAACTAGCTCCACCTTGACCAGCCATAACAGTAAAATTTTACTCACTCATTGATTTATTAGTGTCATTAATCTAATAAAGATGCGTGATATTAAATCAGGTACAGGAGACATTTTTCTGCAAAATGACTACTTCTATACATACAAGACATTTTTACCGATTATACTTAAATACTTGAGTACATTTTTAAATACTTTTACTCATAATGGAGTATTTAAAATTGCGGTATTGCTCTTTACGTAGAATCTTGTAATACTTCTTTTACCAGTGCGATGATGAATGAGTAGTTGCAGTAAAGGCCTGGGTAAACAGTTTTCTAAGTGGCTTTTCTAAGAGATTAGCCCCGTGGTGGCCATTGAAAGTCAACTTTGATTGTCTCGAGTCAAAGCAAGCTGGTGTTTGTAAAGGCACGCCCTGCCAGCCTACACACCTTCAACCCCGCAAGTACTGAGATAGATTGGTGTCTTATCTACGTTATGAGGTCACTGGATACCTGACAAATTACCCCTATTTTTAGATACAGTTGTTCACTCAGTATCGGATTCCAATAGGAAGCAAAAGCTACGTGTAGACTGTGGAGGTCCCGAAAACAAAAGCAGGTTCTGTGTCCTCCTGTAAGCCCAGACGGCTTAAGCTCTTCTTTTCAAAGGAAAGTGTGAGTGGCATGTTTGGCTTTTGTCAGCCTGAAATATGACTAGATAGGCTAGCAGGGCAGCCTGTTATCAGCCTGGAGACGTGAACTTCCTTCCCCTGCTTGAAATGAAGAGATACACTCACTTCATTCAACGAGTGCAATAATTGGAAAGGAATTTGTCCTAGTGGCATTGATACACAATGTATTACACAATACAGGACTGATTCTGGCCACAGTCTTTCTGATTTGATGGTACAAAATATCTGTAATGAGGCTCAAAATCTGCAGGGTTTTTTTCTGAATGGGATACCAGGCATTTTTCTGTTTGTTCCATCATGTCTATCAGTATACCTCATTAAAGCCTTTCTGCATCTGTCTAGACTTGTTAGTACAGAAACTGCCTCGAGATGTGTTCTTTAGTAACAGCAAGCACTGTATTACACAGGAGCTAAAGAGATTTGGGATTTTAGCTGATTTTAGCAGCTTGTGTTGGAGGAACAGATTCAAACCTCCATGTCTGCATGCACTGCCTTGCTAAAGTGTCTTTGAGCAAGACATCAGAATTGTACCAGCTCTCGGAGTACTGTTCTGTAACTGTTCTGGACCTTTGACCTGTCTGTAAAGGGGGACAAATGAGGATCTACTGTACTTGGATCAGTAAAGGAACACATTTATTTTTGTAGTTGCCACATAAAGGAAAAAAACAAAAGTTCCTTGCTGAAATAATGCCTCAAAGCTTGCCAAGCATTGCATGTGTCCAGACCTTTGAATCCACCCACTCCACCGAGGCAATGCCAAGCAGGTAGCGGAAGAAAATAACAACCCAAATTTCAACATCTCACTCTGTCCTGTTAAGTGGTTATATCACATTGGCATTCTTTGGTGTAGAAAGTATGTGTGCCATTGAGGATGCTGGCTTATTCAGAACTGGGGCATAGATAGCCACACAAAGACAGATGCAGACAGACATGCGGATGGAGTATGAGTTGTTGGACTCCACAGTTTTTACCACAGGAAGTCCCTCACGTCCGGCTCAGTGGGCATCGCCTCAAATCTAACTAGATAACTTGTCCCAGCCACAGCCAGAGGCGTCCCACAGGACCCAGGGGAGCAGCTCTGCCCAGGGCCTCCTCCCTCCATAAACACCACCAAACCCCACTCGCATGTGACTCTGCTGCCCATTGTGACCAGACATGACCTGATATCAGCACTGACAGATCAAAGCCTTGTTACTTCCCAACAGAAGTCTAATTTTTAATGAATACCTGTAAGTAGGGCTGGACACTGGTGACGATATGATATCCCTCAAATGTGCTACCCAAATGTACTTTTTTCTCATTGCACTGTGAGGTGTTTCTGGTATTTCGCCTACTCAATTTATATACATGAAGGCAGACTAAATGTTAGAAACACCTCTCTCAGCACAAACGCCAGGCTCCAAATGACCCCCAAGTTTAACTGACACCAAAAACAAAAACTGAACCTTATAAATGTCATAAAGACGGGATTTACTGCAGGCATTTATGAGACAGCATTAGCTAAGTGTTATTAGTGTACAAAACACAGCTTTAAAGAGATTACAAGTTTAATTTTAATTAAGTTTAATTTCTTATCGATACTTAATTCAAAGTTTAAGTTTTTCTTGTTCGAGGATTTGAAGATATTAACTTGGACTCTGGGAAATTGCAATAGGCATTTTGCTATTGATATGGAGCTATCAATAATTTATCAGTTGAGAAAATAACCTGCAGGTTAATTGATAATGCAATAATTGTAAATTGCTGCTGGATAGTGTTTCTGTTCTCATTTTCATTTAGCTGAATATGCCCAAGTTTTCACTGCATTGGTGTTTAATGTTGTAACACAAGAAGCAGCTGAACATTAACTTTCCCTAATTACAAGTTGCACACTTATGAAATACCTGACAAATAAATTAATAATAAACAAGGTTAATAATCTGTCCAAGCGTTTGATGCCAACTTTACTTTATGATACCTGATAGTTTTTGATACTTGATGCTAAGGATACATGTCTGGCTCAGTATTGAGGGTAAAGAGGAAGTGTTGATGTTCCAGTGCTCGCCATGTTATTCATTACAAAACTGTCAAATGCAGTCTGCACTCAAAATTTCGCACTGAGCATCAGACATATGTTGAATGTGCCATCTGCTCTAGCTCTGGTACAGACTTGAATCTGTATGGCTTTAATATTGTAAGTAGCTATCCTTTAGATATATTTACATATTAACACATCTTAAAAACAGCTGGAAATAAAATGAAATTACATATGAAGCAGAGATAATGCTTTTATTTTGGCACATCACAGAGAAGATATAGTCTAAAATGGCTTTAGTTTTTTCTTTCACATTTGTAAACATGTCAGTAAAATTACATATCCAGTTAAGACAGGTGTTTTGAGTTATCATTGTAAGTTTAAGTAATATGTGTTTATTTAATTTTCTCCTGATTTTCTGGTATAATTTTCTTCAAAATGTCAAAATAGCAGTAACGACTTTCTTCTTACGAAAAAGGTGATTGAAACATTTTCTCTCAGGCTTTACACCACAGCACTTATAGGTTGCTTAATTCAAACACCAATGTCAATTCTGCGGCATTCAGATTAAAATGTAGTAAATATAGTGATATAAACTGACAACAGTTGCCTTAAAGCAAGTGGTTCCCAACTGGTGGGTCGCGGTCCGAAACTGGGTCGCAGGCCCATTCTGAATGGACCGCAAGTGACCCGCAAATATGTCAAGTTTGTAAAAAAAACCCACAAAAATCACTACTCATTTATTTTTAAGTACAGAAAATTTGCAGTGCAGAGCTTTTAGTATGAGGTGCTGTTTTGTGCTGTAGAGTGAGTGACTAACCCACAGCTTCTTGCCAGAGACAGCTCAACAACATGGCCAAACACAAGTATGATGCTGAATATATTAAATCATGGGACCTAGAACTAATGACTAAGGAGAAATCTGGACCCTGTGGCTGGACCAGCTGGGAACCAGGTATATGATGCAGGAATTGCGGCTGTTGTTTGTAAACACAACATTCAAACTTGGCCCCTCCCCCCTACACTGCTTGTATGCACACTGCAAGTTGTTATTGTAAGAATGTTACACTTGTTATAATAGAGGGGCGATAGTTAGCATACTTACTAAGCTAACCGCTGGCACCTACCTGTCAAACAGAAAACACTCATGTCGCTCTGCATCTTCTTCCTCTTCTTCAGTGCTTGCCAGCGATAGTGAGAGTGAAAGCCAACCCCAGATTCATGCTATTGGAACGAGCTTTGTCTGCTTGAAGTTTCGCCCCACTGTATTCACGTATTGTCCGTGCTGTGTCTGCGATTTTTGTAGCGTCCTCTTGGATTTGTGCTGCTACTTGTCTGACACCTGGTTGCTACCATTTTATGAAGTCCCGACCTCACCTGTGTGCTGTTATTGGCTGGAGGCTACGCGCGCAGAAAGTCCTGAACACAGCAAAATAAAAAGGAAATACAGGCAGAGGTCAAGGTCCTAGCAAATAAATACACCACCACTTTTCTAGTGGGTCATATTTGATGATTGTGACGTATAACTTTTGTGTGGTCTACATATTGTTTTTTGTTTATAGAAAATCCTGCATAGTATACCTTTAATAATAATGGAAAATAATCTACTCTTAATATCTACAATACCTGCTGTGAAAACACAAATCATTAACACCCATTGAGGAAGTGCTTAATTTCAATGTAGTGTAACACTAAAGTAAACTGGAGGACAAAATAGTCACACACGGAGCCACCCAGAAACCATTTATCTGTGGCTGTTTGGAAACCAGTGGCTCTGAGGTTACGTGAGGGATTGGCTGAGGCTGACATGAATTATGTAATAAACAATGGCGTTGTCTTCGTTGTGCTCATGGCCCCTAGTAGGTGACACATTTCTTTCCAAACAGACATCACATTGCATTAAAGCATGTCTGGTTTGACTGTGTGCAGCTATTGTTGTGCCTTTAATGAGACATTAGTTCTTACGTTGCACTAAAGCTCTGTCAGTTTTTTTAAAGAAGCAGAAGTGATTGAAAGGAATTTGTCTGAGTGAAATGACATCTCAAATAGCAAATACACTAAAAGTAAATTAGAAGAAGAAAGAATTATCTGTGTTGAGGTCAAAGTCTGGTTATTGGCCCTGTAGCTGTAGAGTTTGAGGTGTGGCTCTCACTGTGAATTTGCTTCTCCTCCACCTGCTGACCAGAAACACAGCCATTTGCCTACAGTTTGAATATATATGCTGCAGTCATGCGTCATAGAACCACACATCTTGCTTTTGTTTTGCAGATTTGAAGGTGGCTGTACTTCCAAGTCTGCAACCAGACATTTCTTAACGGGGGGGGTGGATTAGGTGAAACAATCTCATTTGATGGAGCTTGAGTCTGCTGTTTGTGTAAGCTGAGCTCCTGCAATCACTTATAGATGTTGTACATAGCGCATACTTTGGATGACCTGATAAATGGATTGATGTGTAGATTTATCTATTCTTTTGTATGTAGAGAATGCTAAGTGAGCTTTTGTTGTCGACCATGAAATGAGCATAAGCACTTGCTCTGACACCTATTCTACCTTTATTAAGCTTATAATGGCCATTTTTTATAAAAACTTTAAGAGAAATCTGAAATCTAAAGCATATCACTGAGGCTGTAATTGGTAAAGGTGTTGAACTGGACTGTATTATATTCAAATGTGTTGCAATGTTCTTCCCCCTCATGTTTGTATATGTGCGTGACCAAAACATCTGACGCACCTCTCAATATAATGTTCAACACCACTGCAACCTACAACCTTAATAATAAACACATACTGTAGGTAAATTATCATCATCATATGATTAATTATCATCTATGTAAGTATGTAGAATCTACAGCTGAGCTAAAATATGAGATTTCATCATATTTCATTGGTGTAACTACTGTAAAAAAGTGGCCACCTAGTGTGTATCACAACATACCAAATATATATTCAAAATGACATAATAATCAGTGTAATGAAATTTATTTTTGCTGTTAAGCATTACATCGGACACAACTCTTCACACATGATAAATAACAAGAACTTCATATTGGGAGTTCAGAATGAAAATGTGTGTAGAATGATTAATTAGGATGATTTTGTATAACAAAATGTGTCCATATCATCACAGTATGACTCCAAAGTAAGTCAATATATGATAGCATCTATCTATTTGTATATCTCTATACAGTCCTTGTTTTCAGACAGGATTGATAGTAGTGTTTTCTTTTATATCAGATAAGGTTTGTTTTTACCTTGACATGTTTCAACGGGTGTCTTCCTGGAAGAAACATGTCAAGGTAAAAACAAACCTTATCTTGTCTGATATAAAAGAAAAGAAAAACACTAATTTAACACTTAGACAGAAAGAACTTCTGTGGATTAGGATTCATAAAGGCTTGTACTTACTTCACAACTACAAACCGTTTGATGTTTTTATTAAGTGCTGCAACCAACCATTATTTTTTATTATCAACAAATCTGTCAATTGGGCTGTATGTTTTGTATGTTTACTTGTTTGGTTAAACCCTCCATTTTGAGAAACTGGAACCAGTGAATGCTCATCTCAGCAGCTCAAACAAGTTTCAAAAGTCTGCTAGAAACCAAATGGTAAGAAAAATATCAGTTAAGTATAGTGATGTGCAGAATATGAGCTAAAACATGCAAACCAATGTTAATTATCAGTGGGATTGTTTTATTGTATTAGACAAGAAAGCTGGTGTTTTCCCCTCTTGTGTAAACCAATATTTTGTTTTGATGTTCACTATAATCTTAAATGTCTTTTTGACCAGTTAAAACCACTGTTATTTCCTCACATAGTAAACAAGCCCAGTTATATTGTATTTGTAGCTAATAACACGTTCTGAAATTATCCTGCAACATGATTCCAGTGAAGATGTGGTTACTGGTAATTGTGCTTCATTATACATGTGACAAGCAAATGAGCACCACTGTGAGAAACAAGTGTGAAGCTAACGAGGAGAGTGTGTGTGTGTGTGTCGGTGTGTGTGAGGCTGCAGAAACAGACCCCAGGTGTGTGTGCTCACCACTGACTGGACTGGATGTGGTTTTATGGCGATTGAAGTGGTTGTTTACCGGCAGCGATGCAGAGGAAAGTGTTGCTAGGGCAGCTGAGCCCACAGAACAACAACGGCAGGTTTATTCAGAGGCAAGTTCAGGTTTCCATCACTCTCTCTGAGGATTGATGTGGTGGCGAAGACAAAACAACCACAGATAAAACCCAATATTTGTTATCATCTGTCTGGGACAGGTGTAGTGATGTATTAGAGAGACAGTCTGACCTCTGGTTACCACACAGCCCACTCTCCCTCCCTTTGTAACTGTAAATAGTCTCTAACAGAGCTACAGTAGCTGCATTGTTTCATCAACACATTCAGTAATCAGTTGTTTAATTCAAATGGATTTCAGTGTTTTCTTTATGCTTCCAGAGAGGTGTTATTGAAAGCAAGATTACCCAGTAAACCAGGCTTACTTCTGTCATTCTGGTTAATTTTCAGGAAATTCTGTTCGATAAACCTGCTGAACCAGTATTACAACCAATCTGACAGTTTTCTTTTCAGTTTCTCCCCTGCACTGTTATCACGACAAGTCAATCCATCACTGTTAGACAAAAGCTATAATTATTACATGCTTAAAGGGGCCTGTTACGCTCATTCTCAGGTTCATACTTGGATTTTGGGTTTCTACTAGAGCTCATGTACTTGCTTTAACATTTAAAAAACACCTTATTTTCCTCATACTGACTGTGCTGTAAAACCTGTATTCACCCTCTGTCTGAAACACTCTGTTTTAGTGCATGTCTCTGTAAATCCCCCCACCCGAAAAAGCCCAGTGTTCTGATTGGTCAGCATTTCTGGGTCTTCTGTATCTTGGCGTCATTGCACCATCATTAGCTGGGGAATTACTGTAACAGAGTATAGTGGCACTTTCTGCCGGTAAAAATCATCAAGAAAATCTTCTAAACCCCAAATTTACCACAACCACAAATGTTCCGGCAGTTATATGATCCGAAATTAGGCAGACATTAACTACACTGGCAACCAAGATTACATATTTCCCAGATGTTAGCATGTAGCTACATGTAGCAGTGTATGTAATGTAAATTTTGCAGTAGCATGCCTGGAGCAGATGACCATTTAAATAAATCCATCACAAGTTGTCATCAGCTTGTCTCGAAAGTAGAAGAAATGTTGGAAACAGATTATTCAGAACAGTCTGAAGCCAGAGGTTTTTGCACATTTAATTCATTATTTGAAACTTTGGCCATGTTTAATATGATCATCCATGAGAGAAAGTAAGGAATAGGTCCACTGCAAACTTCTTAGTATTAAGTATCTGCACAGTATTCCAGTCAACATATGTGTTTTTAAATGCCCTGCAATTTAAAATAAAGGTAATAAACATCTTAGATCCCTGACTATAGCCTAATAGTTAGTATCATTTTCACAATTAATAAATAAAACTAAAGAATCAGACACCCAGAAATCTGTCTGTTAAAAACACATTAAGAAGCAGAGAACCAATATGAAGGTATTTAAACAGTATTTAGTTGAGTCACACACAAATCCTAAAGTGTCACATTGTTATAGAATGTTTATCTTATTATTCTACTGTAAAATAAATGACCTAGCTGTCGTCCTATTTGATGCCTTAAAGTTGTTTATACAGTAGGAGCGCTATATGACATTCAAAACATTGATATAGCAGCAGACAAATATTTGCTATGTAAAGAATGGTGGAGTAATGACATACTGAGCAGAGAATGAAGTCACCCTCCCTCTGACGCAAGACGCTCCTTAGACGGTCTAGGTGCATGTGCAAGTTGGTGCACGTGAGTCCTGTGAGTCCCTGTGAATCCCTGTGAGTGTTTATTCCACTGGCTACCTACTTTCTCATATGATAGTTACTGCTGTCCCAACCCATTGTAGCAGAACAGCGTAGTTGCAAAGTGTAGCGCCCATCCTCTGTTTCCCCCCTCATGTTAACACTGTTAGCTATATCAGCACTGTTGCCAGTAGCCCCTTTAACACTGCCAGATTTTCCGCGAATGTTGCTGCGAGCGTTTAGACACACAGAGGCGGAAAGGCAAGTTGATCCGAGGTGCCCAATTTTCTGCCTCGTAGGGTAGTCATATTGGTGGAACCCTTTTAGTTTAAACAGACCAAGGCGTCCTTCCGCAACAGGAGGGGCTGTTGGAAGACTTGTGGGAGGAGCTGTTGATGACGCCGCACGTGCGAGCCACTGGCAGTGGATAAACAGGAAACAGCTGATAGCAGGAATTAGC